GCGATTCACAAATGCATGCAGCTATCTACAAATGCACAAGACGCGATTCACAAATGCGTGCAGCTATCTACAAATCTACAGGACGCGATTCACAAATAAATGCCAGGCAAAGTTGTGGTTGTGACAAATATATTTGTGAATATGTTTTCATTTGCAAATCTCATTTTATTTATTTGGGAATTTAATTAATGTTTGTGAAACTTTAAGATTTATTTGTGGATCTCATTCAATATATTTGTCAATATGTTTCATTTTTGTTCATCTCTTTACATTTATTTGTGGATCATAATCTATTTATTTGGAATTAAGCAACAATTCTATCTCCATAATTAATAAGAGAAGAGGGGGGAAAACAGTGGGACAATGGACAGTGTAAAACCTCAAAATAAACTAAAAACCATTATACTGCATGACAAAAATAATAGTATTATTAGTATTTTTGCCCCGTTTTCCAATATATAAAAAATTCTAAACATCAAAAATATACCAAGATAAACTAATTTAATTTTAATTCACATTTGTTTTCAAAACACAGAATTAAATTGATTTTTCTTAACCCACAGGCAAAGCTTTTTTCTTGTTTTAACCGTGTTTAGTTAGATTTCTGAAAAATTATCTTGTTTTAAAAATGTTTGGATAATTTTCCTGGGAAACAAGAGAAAAACAAAATTGCAGTTCTGCTCTTGAGATGAGCCAACCTATTTGTGAGCAGCTCTATCTGTGTGTTTTTGTCTTTCTCCAGTCGGCTGTAGGCATCTCTGTGTCTCCTGAGCTCCTCTTCCATCATGTTCTCCGCTCTGGTCTCCTGGTCTTTTAGCTGCTCCTCCAACTCGTGAATCCTGTTGAAGCACAGTCCTCATCATCATCATGCACATTTTGTCAGTCCTGCTGAGGCCCACTTTGACCTTTTAGCAAATGCAAAATTTTGTTAAGACTATTTTCATGGAAGGTTTTGCTAGTGGAAAGAATCTGCTGTTTAAAGAGATAAGTATGCAAATACATATGCATATAACATAGTTCCAATGAAATGAACTTTGTCTAAAGAGTGGGTGGGTGGACTTTGAGTAGCAATTTACCTGTGAACCAACTGTATGTTTTCCTGTTTCAGCTTCGACTTCACATCCCCGTTCATCAGAATCTCATTTTCCAGCTCTGTCACTTTCTTGTCCAAGTAACTCACCTGTAACAAAGTTAGAATATATGCAAATATTACTATCACTCGCAGAATAGCTCTGAATTAGTAGTAGTTTCTGAACCAGTTTAGTCTGAATGACTGTCAGCACTGAAACAACCCTTGATCTGCACATCCCAAAAAAAAAAAAAAAGTTTTGCAACAACAGTGCAGATTAAGAGTTTGAAAAGTGTTTATGCGTATAAACATATAGTGATCCTGATTCAAATTAAATAAAAAATTTTTTTTTTTTTTATTAAAACAGATTGTTCAACTATAAGCACTTTTGGCCCTGTGGAATTGAGAAAATAAACATACTTTTCACACAATAACTTGTTTACTTAATGTGTATGCTAACAAGGTCCAACAGTGGACATGTATCGAAGCTGAATTTTGTCATTTTTATGAAACATCATAATCCATGATTTCCACCACAACACTACTTCCATCGTATCTTGAATTATGTACTTATGTTTGTGTATTGTATTTTGTGGTGAAAATGACATTTAATGTAATATTTGTGGTGTTAGTTGACTCCTTTTTAAGGCAAAATTATATATACTGTGTGTTTGTGTGTGTATATATATATATATATATATAAAACAATTTTTTAAAAATTTCATATTTTAAGATTGAAAAGTCGGTGTCTGGAAAACACTCAAATCTACACATAAAGGCAATGGAGAAGTAGAAAAGTTTCCAAGACAGTCTGATGAAAAATTCTGAAAACTGTTAGTTTAATTAAAATCAACTCTTGGGACATAACAGTGCACACCCAGACACAGACAAAATCCAATTTAAGTCAGCAGCATCATCTGGAACCATTTGACCCCCTGCATTAAGAAGCTTACATCTACGGATGTGATTTCCTGAGCGCAGGTCAGGACTAAGCGCGTGTTTAATAAGACACTCCAAAATAGACTGCATTGGTGATGCAGTCTTCACAGTGCTGTGTTCAGGAAGGAAGTGAGTGTACTGTGAGGGGATTTTACCTTCTCAGTAATGTCTATTTCACAGGAGTCAATGCTGTCATGGAACAAATCCTCTGTGCTGCCGTTACTACTGCTGAGGTTACTGTTGTGGAGCAGCTGCCTGTTAGACCCAAAATACACACATAAACAAGATAATTTTATCATAAAATACTATAATGCATCACAATAACATTACAATTGCATTTTATTTTGTTACATCCCATGCCGCACCAGTACATTTTGTGCCTCCTCAGCATTCAGATCCCATGCTGACAGCTATATTTTGCAAGAGTAACGTCCCACTTACCTCTCTGCTCAGACCTATGGATGGATTGGACTACACTGCAGCATCAATACTTGCAAACTACATTACCCATGCTGCATCACTGCAGCAGACCACTCATCCATTCTATGAATCTATATTCCATGCCTGAGCATCTTTAGGAGCACTGCAGTGACGAGGGAGAGAAGGGACTGACCAGTACAGGCATTGTGAGAGCTGGTGCAGTGTCCGATCCAGCCGACCCTCCCACACAAAACCAAACAGCACCCGTCAGACACAAGCGCATGCGCAGGCACGCACACTATTCTCTTGTCCCACTTGCATTAGCCTCTGAGAGCCGTAATCTTGTGCGTACACAAATACACATTCACATAACTCTTTTGCAGAGTCAGGTCTTGGTTGTCACTTTGTTTTATTGCTGTGTGTCATTCTCAATAAAGCAATGACGTCGCACATGAGAATCCATTTTATAAATTACACACATTGGTCTCTCTCTGTGGTTCTGCTTTCTCCCTCTCTCTTACACTCAGGTCAGCTGTGGCAGGCCACTTTCATCTTGTCACTGTGATTTAGAGTAGGAGACTGTTGCCAAAGGGACAAGAAAAACTGCCATTCACCCACACAATTATTACCACCCAGCATTTACACTCCCATGCATCATTTGATCAGATTCTTGCAATTAAACACAAAAGGAACTGTCTAGAGCAGTGATTCCCAACCGGGGGTATCCGGGGGTTTCTTGAAAAGATTTTTAAACAAAGTGTGTAAGTTTTGTATTTGTATGCGGATGATACTTCCAGCACAGTGTATAGTGTGTATATATATATATATATATATATATATATATATATATATATATATATATATATATATATATCACAACTTCATATAACATTTATTTAACCACAGGAGGTACTCCCAGTCAAAGCAGAGAGGGAGTTGGAAACAAACACCGTAATGATTAACAGCAGCATAGACTACACAAACAAACACAGAGCATAACATATTGAGTGACCTACCTTCCAAATGCAGTGCTGGAGATCTTTCTGTTTGGGCTGGAACACAAACAAAGGACAGCTAATTAGAACTTCAACATATGGTGTAACTGGTGTAAATCCCTCTTCTTTTTCAACAATTGTTCATTAAAACATTATATAGGCTATTTACTGTATATATGAGGGTTGGTTTACATATATTGTTGAACTTATAATAACTTGGATAACAGAACTGAATGCTTAGCTTTGATAAATGCATTGGATGCTACACTTGTATAAAAATGAATAAAATTGTTATTGATTGTTAAACATTACATTCTTGATGAAAATTTGTTAAGAAAAAACTATAAAAAACAATAGATTTGTACAACAATTAACTGAATAGCAGTTCAAATTATTATATGATTTTAGTCAAGATGTTCATTACTGCACTTAACCCAGACTCACTCAAAATATATTTGAATATAGTGTTGGCCCTGACACGAACCTCAGTTCACATACCTCCAACCTTAACAAAGCTCACAAAATGTATTTGAATAGAGTTTGTTACATAGCTCAAATATACAACTGCTACTGGAGTAAAAGTTGCAGTGGAGAAGATATCAACACAACAAGAGCAGAAAGCATGTGAATGTTGAGGGTTTCCTTTCTAAGACGGTTCAAGCTGTCCACTCAGAATTCAAATATTAATCATGTTTATGGGAAAACACATACTACACAGTTTCATACACAAAACTCTCTCCTGCTCTCTCTCGCTCTCTCTCACACACACACACACACACAGAGTTATTACCGACATAGCTTTTCTAGCAGTGACAGAATGAGGTGTGAACTAATGCATTTCTTGAAGGAGCCTGCTGATAGGGCATTTAGCTTTCATTCCTCCTCTCTATCTCATAGCCCATTCTGTCTTTTTTTCTTTCTTTCTCTTCTATAGTATGACACTGTCTTCCCCAAAATCCCTCGGTCTATCTGATCCAGTTCCTATTTCATCCTCTGTTTTGAGAGGCTAAGATATGAGAATCTAATTACAAAAGTTAAAGCAAACTCACAAGAAATCTTGGAAATTGTCAAGGATGAAGAAAAGACAAGAAAAGTATCCAAAGCCTAAGAAGGGTTTGCCTGTTGTTCAAGTGTTGTTTCATGTGGATGTGAGTGAGAATGATACAAAGACAAAGAGAGACGGCAAAATACAGAATGCGCAGAGTCAAATAAATGTGTGGATGTGTGTGTAGCTCACTTCCCAATGCCTAATAAAGCTCTAATGGGCTCTAAAGTGGTGGGCTGAATGATGTATGGAAAAGGAAGTGAATCATTAATGGTGCAGAGAGACTGCAGCAAGATATCAAAGCTCCTCCACCTCAGTTGTGTTCTTCTCATATACTCACATTAACTCCTCTGCCTCTATTACACTGTTGCTTTAATTTAGTCTATTGTAGCCAACAGGAAGACAACGTAGAACTGATAAACACTAATCCTCTTAAAGTGCCTCTAATGTGGATTCCAAGTCACTAAAAGTTTATTTCCCAGATGTGAGGGGACACTCATTTTACATTACTGAAGAGAAACTAGACAAGTCAATAATCACTTAACTTTTATTTCAAAGGTTTATCTCTAACAAGTCTTCTTGAAGATGAGCTTACACCCAGTTTATGACAAAGCCCTCTGGGTGAAAAAGTATTTTATAACTTTATCTTTCATAACAGATGCAAACTGTAGTCTATGCAGTACCTGTTGGTTTTGAGGTTTTTCAGCCTGTTCTCCAGGTCTTTGAGCAGACTGACCCTCTTACAACACTGAGAGCAAAACACATCCATCTGGTCACCAGCATGGCGCATCTTCCGAGGAGTCTGACCAGCACTGGAGGAAACAGGGAGAGCGAGAGAGAGACAGAGACAAGGTCAAACACATTTATGGCACATCATGTGTGCATTCTGAAAACATTCAATAAACAATATAAGCAGAATGTAGAAAAAAATACTATATAATAGTGAAAACTATGAAAGCCAAAAAATAAAAAGTGAGAATCTCTAGTAAGCCAAGTCTGATAAAAATCTCCCCAACAGAAGCATCATACCTATTCAAACATGTCTCAACAGTTATAGATTATATATGCAAAAATCAAAGAAAAATATTTGGATAGAGAAGACATATAGACATATAGAATGGTGGTAACACTTAGTTGTAACACCATCAGTTTGAGCACTTAGAAATTAGGTACAAGGATGCAATTATTATGATACATGACCACCATCCTTTGAGGTGGTAGTAGATTGTGTACAAATATAAAGCATTTATATGCATTAAAAAAGATTTTGGGCTAGAAAAAACAACATTTCACTTCACTGGAATATAATATGATTTGCAATCAGATATGCACATTAGATGACATAATTTGCTTCATATGATACATGTTATGTTGTTTAATATGATATACTACAAATCACATCTACCTGTTAAAAAAAGACATATAACGCCTTAGCAATATTTTACATTCTTAAATTAAAATAAAGAAAATAGAAGGTGGTGGTTTTGGGGGACAGGTAAACGTGTTTAAAACAAGAAATTGATTAACAAAATAAATGCACAAAAAGTGTTTTCTACTCTGTGCTTAAAGAAAAAAATAAAATAAAGATCCAGCCTTTTGGACAGTAGCTAGGGACTAAAAAGAACCATAACACTGTATCCCATGTGAGTGAAAAAGTTTCCCCACAGTCAGACAGTTCCATCCTCTAATACAGTCACTAATATATACAGTACATGCTGAAAGAAATCTTGTGTAATGAAGGCAGATATCTGGATTTCTAAACGAATCATCCTTTCATTTTAAAGTAAATCCCTTTGAAAACAGGCTTTGGGGCAGTCAGAGGAAAAGAAAGTACTGTTGTGGTTACATGTAAAAAAAATGGATTAAATAATAATTAAAAATCCTTAGGAATACAGACACACACAAACACACACCTGGAGGAAACAGAAGAGCCCAGATCTGAACATCCATTAATGCGGATCTCATCATCTGGACAGGGGCTGCTGGGATTGTAATCTCCATCCTCTCCTTCTCCATAGTCCTCAAATTGCTCCTCATTTACTGAGGCAGATGAACGTCTAGAATGATCAGAAGTCTCTGAGCGATTATACATCTGACCACACCTTGAGGAATGAGACAGGAAATGGAAATGAGAAAAGCATTTATTTTGACTTAGTTTTTACACTTAATATCAATGAAAGCAATAATTACTCAATTCATTAATTCATTTGCAAATCCGTAAATTCAGCCTTATGTACACAAGAAAACATTATAAAAGCACTCACTTTTCTCCTGGGAGACAAAGCCCAATCCCTTCCTCTTTTTCTCCAGTTCTTACTCCATCCGATATTTCTGATGACAGAGCGCTGTCTACTGCACTGTCTCTGTCCGACTCTCTCTCCACCCCTCTGCCTTCCTCACTCTCCTCATCCTCAAGCATTGGACTCTCTGGGCACTCCTGGATGGACATTTTAACTAGTAGCCCGACCTGTCCTCACTGTACTGTCAAAAGCAAAATACATTAAACTTTTAGAACAGTCACACAACTCCCAACCTGTGTTACATAAGGATAGAAACAATTATGAAAATATGAACGCATGGACGTCTGACACGGATACAATCTCTGGGAGTGACAACTGCATTTCTCTATGATAACCACAGCCATATTTCGGTGCCTCACAAGCTGTGAATATGGATATCAACAGTTCCCCCATTTGATATGTTAGTAATATTAGTGACTGAACAACAAAGAAAAGAAAAAATCTAGTGTAAAATATGTAGATATTCTTTGTATACATATTGGTTTTATACTGTTTTGAAAAATGTTTATACCATTTATACCATATAAATGTATCTAAAACTGCATGAGGTACAACCATCAAGGAAAAATCATAATCATTATATTCCAAAACGTTTTAAATGTATTATTTATGGTTATCACAAATTATGTATTTAATGTTTCAGAAACTTATTGACTTTGATACAGTCATGTGGTTAATAAATCAGGGGTCTCATCTAAATAAATTTTATGTTGGTGTTGTTTTAATGTTTTGGACCACATGACTTTGACTTGGTTTTGTAACATTTTTATAAAAAAAATAAAAATAAAAGAATATGCCATACTTTATGTGTTTTTTTTCTACAATGTCATTCTTTTAATGAGGCTTTTTTATTCATTGTGTTAAAGTTGTATCACCCTGAAACTGAATGACAAATAAAGAAAATAGAAGAAAGAAACAGAAGCAAGGAAACTGCTTGTAATATGTCTTGGCATGGAAAACACAGAAGGAAATGATGAAAGAATCTTTCACATGACAGACCTACAACAAAAACAAAAAGCACCAATGTTCCTCCTTTGCAGAAGAATGGACAGAACTGAAAAATTGCAATCTCTTCCCAATAACACACTGCTTCTGTGGTTTACCAAACTGGCTCTACAACTAACAGTCACTTTTGTAAGCTGAGCACACAGCAGGTGGGTGTGCGTGTGTGAGAAAGAAAAAAAGAGCTCTTTAGTATTCTGTTGTGCTGAACATGAGGGGGCAGGGATACAAAATGCCAGTGTGTGGTCAGGCTGCTTGAAAAGTGAGTGGTCCTACATACACAGAAGCAGTGAGCATGCACACACACACGAACACAAAAAGCGCTTTTTCTCAAATGCAAAACAAACACACTTTTCTCAAATTTTGTGTCATAGGACAAAATCAAAACAGGTCATAAAATGTAGGTAATTATGTGCCCTTGTATTTGTGAATAAATCTCCTCCTCCACAATATGAACATTGACTGTCTCATAACAGCAGGGTATGAGTATGTGTACCTACTGCATGTTTGAGCACCTGATTATAAATGCACACAACTTGCCGCAACTTGAAACATGACATTCAAAGCCCTGCAGGAAGTTCTTACATAAACGATGACAACTTCCATTGTAAATGCTAGAAAGTGATCTGTACATGCACACACTGAATGCTTTATTATGCATGTGTGAAACTCCCAAAAGGCAAATCGCATTTCACAGTGCAGTGCCCCTTTAAAATAATATTACATAATGGTCTCCAAAATAATTTTAACATTCAGAAAAAAGGTGTATTTTTCAGATGTTGAGAACACTTGTCAGTTGCAGGCATTATGTAATTCCTTACTCAGACAATATGCCATACATGAAACTGAAAAGGCATGCTGTCTGAAAACACGTTCTTTGTGAACCTCAGAGACCTGACATGACTGTACAAAAAAAAAAATGTGTTTGTTATGACGTACGTATGATTTATGATGTACACTCTAACATGAAGAAAATATACTTTCTACTGTATGGTTAGACATATTTTATGTTCTCATCTCATGATTTTCCCAGCTGTCATTGAGTATAATATCTAAAGCTATTTTCAGCACAAACACAATGTTAAGTATTAAGAAACTGAAGTAGCAATGACTTATTGTCTAGTCGAAGACGTGTGAGTCTTCCACCAGTGCACTTAGACAGATGCATTTAGAAGTCACAAACATACCACCCACCATATAATACTTTAATGGGTTTCAGTAAACAGCTTCAAGGCCACTGTTGGCAGCTGTTTCATTAATACAGTAAGCAAAACTAAAAGGGGCCTAACCAACCATTTGAACATGTACAGTTAGCATGATCTAATCTAGACAGAAAGCAAGAGGTGCACCAATTATTAAATGACTCGAAACCAGCTGAAGTGAAAGGGAAAAACAAACAAACAAAAAAAAACACTTCTCACTGGATTCAAACAGAATACAATGACAAACCTCTCCACCTCTTACATCATTCTTAGAGAAGTCTCCGTTTCATGCAGGGTGAAACACTGCTCCCAAAACAACAAACTGGTTTAGTCAGGTAATTGCATGAACTGTAAAAACAGAAGTTAGAAAACATAAACTCATGCAATATCACTAAGGAGAAAATATAAAAACATAATCCTTCCCCAAGGCAGAATGGGTGCAGCTAAAGACATCTACAGAACCAACAGTGTACATTAGGGTCTCATAGACCCTTTTGGAATGTGACGTCTCATATCCGCCCTTGAACCATAGAGCCCACGGGCCCTGTTCTCATTTCCATCTTATTAACAGCTTATCATCAAAAGCTCCATTTAACTGCTCACTGCCTAGAGAATTCATAGCAATCCTCAACAGGCCTCTTTACTAACTTGAATTAAATACAAGTTAAATGTGCAACATCTCAACCCATATAGTGCATACACTCTTCAAACTATGAGGTTTTCAAATAAGTGCTCAATAACACAAATCCTTGTTGAAAAAAATGCTCTTAAGATTTGCCATTATAATAACTTCCCTGGATTAAATGGGCATGAGATAACTCAATTATCAAAAGGTGTTAGTTAATACATCTTTACATTTCAAGTTGACTCAACTTTTTTGTGAATTGTATGCTTCAAAGTAAAATTCCAATATGACAATTTGTTTGCATTATTGTAGCTGGAAGTAAATTTTAAGTTAACTCAATAAAACCACACTAGCATTTATTTAGGCAAAGGTCAACTATATAACGAAGGTTTTCCATGAATATTTTTACCTGATAGATAGAATGGTTCTCAATACAAGGCGATTTCTCATAAATGTCAGGTTGGGGGACAGGTTGTCACAGGCATTGTAAATGTTTGACTTTTTCATATATATATATATATATTAAATTTCTGCTGTTTCATGAATTGGTTTATAATTGTTTTAATGCAATAAATTATAATATATCAAATAAATAATAAGCTTTATAATGGATTATTTAATGATAGGTTCCATTGTAACTTAATCCATGTCTTTTTCCTGAGCAGAAAATGTGAAAATATTCAATAGCTTTCGTGTATCCAAATAATTAAGGTATCTCCCAATACAGAAATTCAAAATTTAAAAAATTCTGAAATTTAAAAATTCACCAGCAAATATTCACAGGAGTAAAAAGTAGGCCTAATCCTGGAAGCAAAAACTGAATGCACTACTTTTTGATCCTAACAAACAAAACTGATATTAACCATATTTTACAAGTAACTTTTTGTTTCAAAAAGTTGTCTTTTTTAAATAAATAAAGGAATAAAAGAAGCCTTTTTCAGAATCATAACAGATTCTGCACTCTGTACAAAACCTGACTGTTCCATTAGGCCAAAAGCAGGCTCAGGTGATTTTGTCACATGAAGAGCGGTTACTATGCTGAGGGATTTCGATGGAATGCTCTTATTTGTCAGCTGTAAGCCCAGAAACTCTTTGGACAATACTATGCGACCTATGGGAGGTAGCATGATGTCACAGCTAAACTAGCTGCACTACATCTTAAAGATAATTCTTATACAAGTAATTTCTTATCTATGATTAAAATATCTATTACACTGGGGAAAGTCAAAGTCATTTTAATATAGACAATTATTATATTTTTTATAGGTTTAAGCAAAACTGGTCAGAGATTGTGATTATAAAAAGGGGAAAATAGTGAGACACAGTATGTTCTAATGAGAATATTCAGACCACTGATTCAGGGCCTGTTCAGCTAATTGTGAAATCATTTTAGGAGACAGGGAGAGGATTCCCAAGAGGCATTTGCACATTGGCACAACTGGGTGTGTAAGCAGGCGAGCTGAGATCATGTGTTAGAATTTACTGCCATGTAAACTCTAGTGTCTAATATTGCCGCATATACATCTTGACCCATCTCATGGTATTTTCTTATATACTCAAAATCTGGAATCAGCACAGATTTAGAACAGAAGTGACAAGTGTATTTTCCATTTTTATAATGATTTATAATGATTACAGTATAATGTATCATACTGATTCATATTTCTCACTCAGCTGAGGAGACAGTTTCACTCCCACACACACCCAGGAAAAAAGATCCGTCAAGGCCGAGCTGATGCACAGGAACCAATGAATCACCATCCTGAGATGCACTGCAATTTTTTGCAATCCAAAAAAAAACACAATGTGCCCAAACTATGGTTTTGTCAATAGCAGAAACTCCCTGCCAAGACCAGGTTTACTTCCCAAATGCATAATTCTCAGATTCAATTGGTGCATTTAATGCATCAGCAAAAAATTTATATTTATAAACTTACTATTTCTGTGTACTGCTATATGTATCTGTATATATGTGCAGTGTAGATTGTGCCTGGCTGGTTTTCAAACATACAGCTGGTCTTGTTTAGACGCTGCTGTGCAGCTTGTAAAGTGCATCGAAACCTGCACTGTGCTAAAGTGGTAACTCAAGCCGAGGGGTGAGAGATATCTTGATACAGAAAACACTTGAGGGGATTTCAAGAGTACTTCTAATAACACAGTTGCCAAAAAAGCTAAAATTTCTCGAAGCACGTCTGATGCTGAATGTCATACATATTGAATAAACGTTGTAGGAGTTATAAATATCAAATTATTCCAGTTTTTTTCTAATAAAAAGTCACAACTGACTAGTGGTCAAAATATCAATTATTTGCTAAGAATTTTTATGCAGGTTGGTGTGTGAATATTTTACACAATATATTAAGTGTGTGGAAAGTCAAGTGGGCAGTTATATTCAAGTATGCCCTTGTCCTGTTGTGTCTATATTTAGCAGACTCAAACTAACGGAGACAGCAGAGAGAAAGAAAAAGAAAGACTGCAAGGGTGAGGGACAGGTGATATAACAAATGTCAGCAAGATGATAGATAGGGACAGCAGGGCTGCCACACTTACTGTCTCAAACACATTTACATACTTCCATTAACAATTTAACTTTAAAATATGAAGTTATGTATTTAAAAAATCCAATATTTAAGTTAACTAAAATCTGTGTAATGGTGATCTTTCTCCAAAGTCTATTATCAGCAGCCGTTTTAACAGTGTATTTAATTTGTGATAAACTAGACAATTACAATTCTAAGGAAATTCTGTGTGCGTAGGTTTCAGCTACGGACCAGATATTTAAGCAACTGACATCCATTTTCAGTGACACTCAAATCATATCTAAAACACTCACCTAGAATACATTTTACATGACCAATCATGGATAAAGCTGGTCTAATTACCTGATGAGGTGCTTTCTATGTGTTCCAGGAACACGATTATTTTCAATTACATGATTAAGACCTACATTTGTTAGACCAGACTGTGAGATTACAGTCAGTATATTCTACTTCATAACAGTCTAGCTTCTACCAGGTTTTAATGCCATGCTAATATCAATCACTCTCATGAGACCTCAAGTATATGCAATAATACCCTTTTTTTTTTAAGGAAATTTTTGTTTTGCAAAAAAGACAGTGTCAAGGCCAGAAACAACTGCGATACATACTTTGACCTACATATTGATTATGTCTGCTGCTACTATAAATTACTTTTAGGTTTATGCACACAAGTTGCCAGCTGCCCTCAATTAACAATTAATCTCATTAACAACTGACTGCAGAGCAATCTTTTAAGGAAATTTTTGTTTTGCAAAAAAGACAGTGTCAAGGCCAGAAACAACTGCGATACATACTTTGACCTACATATTGATTATGTCTGCTGCTACTATAAATTACTTTTAGGTTTATGCACACACAAGTTGCCAGCTGCCCTCAATTAACAATTAATCTCATTAACAACTGACTGCAGAGCAATCAGACAGTTTAACTCACTGAGAGAGAGACAGGTACGACAGAGAACAAAAAAAAGATAGTCTAGGTATGTTAGTGGTAGTAAAAAATGCCAGACATGGGGGAAAACAAATGAAACAGAGTGTGAGAAGTAACAATGAGAAGGGAACAAGTAAATGTAATCCACGAGTGAGCAACACAAACATGAAAACATTGACATAAATTCCTTACGTCCTATCCTCCTTCTGTCGAACACAATATAAAGAGCTCCTCTTACTCTGTCTCTCACAGCCGAGTGACCATGATCTCTTCCACTCCTCACAGTCCACTTCTTCTACTGTCCACTGTAGTCATCCAACTCAAATCCAAACAGGTGAGGCCTCATCCACTGGTAAGCTTCTGTTCAAAAGTCCTTAACTACTGTAATCCACAGCCAAGGAAAATAGAGAGAATCCTTATGCTGACTATTTTCATATGCTTACTTCTTGAATGAATCTAATAGTTTCTGAAACTTGTGCAAACACTGCATGATTCAGGCTTGCTTGACCACACACACCCGCCCTCTACACACTTTTAGAAGCTCTGACAGCAGTTGCTTGTTTCCAGCCACTCCTACTCTCCCCTTCTCAATCTCTATGGCTGTTGTCAGGCAACCGGCTTCAGGGGAGGTCCTGTGGGTGGAGCTAAAAAAGCTGCACACTGGCTCCTGTCTAAAGCATTTACATATGCAGGTACACCTAGTCGCTGTGGCAACAACAAGTGCATTAGTTTGAAGGCTGAGAGGCTTAGGGACTTGAAACATTGCAAAAACTCAAATCAAGTTAAACATTTTTAGATCCGGTTGGGGGGAAAAAAATCTAAACATATGAAAAGAAAACTTTCAAAGGATTTGTATCACCAGAAATAGCACAAAAGGGGAAGTTGGAGGAGATGATATTAATTGCAACACATCACACACAAAAGTACCAAACTTCACAATCTCACTTCCTTCCTTATAAGACCAGTTTGTATTATGTGTTTGCGCATATGATGCATTGTGAAACTGGATTTGTGGTTGTATTGCACTATTGCAGACTTGGAAACATGTCTTCTCTCAAAAAAGCCCTCTTACTTCTGCAACCATCTCTCAGAGTGAAACTTATTCTTACTACTGTTGCATCTGCTCTGAAATCTAATTGTGAAAAACAAATTAGATGGACAAGAGCAGTAAATGCTAATTTATTTCAGTGAACTATCCTGTTACCTCCCACCCTGATCATTCTAACAAATGACCCGTGACTTCTAAAGCCCTGTGTCTATGAGACCCCAGCAGCATAATCCCTGAAGACATTTGTTCACAAAGCCCAGCTTAATGAAATAACATACACCTGCTGCTCCATACTAGACCAACTGAGCCATGTGCTGACTCAGTACTTGCCCCAGTTCTTCCCTTTCTTTTTGTCTTCTGACCTGTTTTATTCTCACAATCCCTGTATGTCTCCTCATATCAAGTTTTCTCACTGTCTGTTTTGCATTAGCTTGGGTAAATGTTCTTCATCCACACCTGTCTCCAGTTTCTCACTTCACGTCACATTAATACAAATGACCCCAAACCACACAAAACCACATCCAGCTCTTTTAGCCAAACCTCTTGAGGGAAGTACAAAACAAAAACACTAGTACGTTTACAGCTCTTATTCTTCCTAGTATCTCATTTGGACAGCGGTATCTTGTTTCTCCTGGTATTTGGAGGAATAAAAAATGGATGGTGTCAATTTTCTCTCCCTCTGACCTCTGATTTTATCTACCATATTTTAGCTTCTTGATAAGAAAAAAGATGTAGAGACATTGGAGAATAATTGAGAAAAGAGCCAGGGAGAGATTGGGCTCTTTGGGGGGGGGGGGGGGGGGGCTTGATAAGAAAAAGATTGAGAGACATTGGAGAATGATTGAGAAAAAGAGAAAGAGAAATGAGGCTGTTTGGGGGGGTGTCTCTTTCGTGGATGGGTGAATGAAAGCTAATTATCTGGAAAGGAATGTTTTCTCATGGGCTCTCTCAGAAAGAGTTTGGCCACAGGTCAACCAATGGCTGCAGGCTATTTGTTTAAATGCAATCTGTTAAAGGTTTGTGCCCCTTTCCTTGTAAAGGCTATCAGTGATTCTATTCAGACTCTGCAGTCCAGAGTATAATTCGCATGGACAGACTGAATAAAAGCCTTCAAATGACTTTAGAATACATTTCCCATTTTTAATCAAAGTGTGGAGTTTGAGTTAATGTGTGAGCTCGAAACATATTACAGCCCACTGTGAAATAAAAGTTTTAAATAAGTAGACAGCCTACACTGAAAACCCTAATAAGTTGACTGAACTAAATTGATTGAGTAAACTCGTTGCCTCAATTTAATTGAGTAATGGAGTTTCCCAAAACTTGCATATTTAAGTTCATTAAACTTGGCGGTTTTGTAGACTATACTTATATCGTTATGTTCACCAAACTTGGCGCTTATTTAATGTACTTAAACGATTATGTTCACTTAACTTGGTATTAACTTCAAGTGTACTTATATATTTAAGTTAACTCAACTTGGAAATGTAACTGAAACTGTTGAATGATGTTATTTTTGACTGCAAGCTTTGTGCACACCAAACTGAAATAAAACAGCGAACAGCATATTTAATCTTTGACTTTTTATTGTCAAAATGTCACAATATTAATGCAAATACAGTAAACACAACTGTAATGGAAATGTCACAGCCATACTGTAAAGGTGGTAACAAAATTAACTAGTGCAGTACATCAATTGTACAAATCTATGCACATATACTTCACTCAAGTATCACAATTATGTTAATGTAAACATAACTATTACATTTGACCGTTTAAGCTTTGTGCAAACATAGCGAACTAAAATAAAAACACACTCAACATATAGTATCTTTCACCAAAGTTTCACCTAAACAGTTTTTACAGTATTACAGTACAAACTATACTGTAGTGGAAATATTACTGGGTCACAACCACACTACAGAGGTGTAACAATGGTCAAATATCCCAAATTAACTACTGCACATCAGTTGTAGAAATCTGTGCATTTAACAATTTAAACATACTTTTTATTCTTCATAAATAAATAATGGCGTAAATCGAGGGAGAAAAACCCAAAACAAATGGTGGTGTTAAAGTATCACAGTGACGCAAAAAGCTGGTTTGCCAGAGACTGCACTCTAGGCTTGAGAGCATTCTGTCCCATTGACATTAGTACACGCTGGATGAAATCAAACGTGTTGGTGAGTGATTTGGGGCAATTCAGGTCTAGTGCGTAAATCAGACCGAAGAGAAGACAGATTGCCTGTAGGAGGTCCTGCATTTTGTCCATCACCACTTGGCCTTCAAGAATGATTCCAATCGAAGAAGTCAAATGCAAAGAGTTGGGGGGCTGAAGATCAGTGTCCTCAAATAAGATCCCCAATGGCACATCAAGGATAGTGTTGCGATGATCAGACACCTAGTGAAAAAAACAGGTATAAATATAGTATTGTGATCAGGAATCAAAGGTTTATCATCAATGCATGATTATCAGAATGCGCACTAATTTTACTAAAAAAACAAATCACTAACCTTAATCCAACATTATATTGACATGTATACATTTGAATTTATGTAAATGTAGATGCTTCCTGCAAAGAATTTGGTATACACTTTTTAAAGTATGCATTATAAATGAAGTTTATTATTTTGAAGACTTGTACAAAAGAGTTGGCCACATTTGTATATTAAAGGAATACTTCACCCAAAAATAAAAATGTACTCACACTCATGCCTTTAAATATATAGATGAGTTTGTTAAAGGCCTTCTGAATTGACTCAATGGGTTTTGGTAAGAAAAATATTCATATTTAAAACTTTTTAAAGTAAAATATCCAGCTTCCGGTGGACCGTATTCAACTTACAGAAAAAGCGCAAGTGATGTGATGTATGATGTAGGATGTACCTTAAGTGTTTTGCACTGCGAGAGGCGTTACACTTCGTAACTTTACAAACAAAGTTTTAAATATGGGTATTTTTCTTACACAAACACATTGATTCACTTCACAATGCCTTTATTAACCCCCTGGAGCCGTGTGGAGCAGTTTTATGATGGATGGACTTTTTAAGCTTCAAAATCTCATCCCCCATTCACTCACATTATAAAGCTTAGAAGAGCCAGGATACATTTTATTATAACTGATTGGATGGCTTGAGGATCAGTAAACCATGGGGTAATAATTTTTTGGTGAACTATCCCTTTTAAGAACAGATGTACTTACTAAACATGACTTGAAGAAAGAAGAGTCTTCATCTCCGAGCATGATAGGCAGTCCTCGAAGAACAAGGGTTCGGACCTCAGTTGGTTGGTCTGACTTTAGAGGAAAACATGAAATTCTATTAATGCCAGAAAAACTCACTATCAATCTATTTTAAGCATTGTTATGAGAATATATTATTTAAATTAAGATTATCATATCATATACTATCATACATAAAAGATTATTGATATGAAAATATAAATTAAATAAATTACATTTTGACAAAATGAAATACTTTTAAACTCGCTGAACAAGTCCCAAAAATTTAAGGTCTCGAGTCCCTTCATCTCCCAATGGGACAAAGGATCGTCAAGGCATCCATTAAAGAAATCCTTAAGTGCCCCGTCATTGAATCCCAGTCCCACTGAGTAAGTCCAAAGAGTTGGGCAAAGGCCCCTACATCCCCGCCCTCTTGTCGCAACCCCGTGAGAGCTTTAAATCGAGCCCGCTCTCTCCTGCCATTTGGCAGGTCGGGTAATCCGAAAACTCATGGCACCAGAAGAGGGGGAAAAAAAGAGGAAAAATCTGCTGGATCTTGAAGTGGCGTCAGTATTCTGTCACGGAATGCTCACACAAAAGATCCATTCGCAGTTTTATTCTCCAAAAAAAACAAAAAACATAATCCACATGAGCAAAAACAGGAAACAAAGATAGCAACACAGTAACAGAATGCAATACTGATGCAACTAAAGACAAAATTAACAAGGTATATATAGGGTGAGGCTAATGAGTCAATGATAAAAAGCTGGCAGTAATGAACTAATAATGAGTGCAAAAAGTTATGGGAATGTTAAAATGTAATTTATTGCTGTGATCAAAAAGCTGAATTTTCAGCATCATTATTCCAGTCTTCAGTGTCACATGATCCTTCAGAAATCATTCTAATATGCTGATTTGCTGTTCAAGAAACATATTTGCTATTATTATTATTATTATTAATATTTCAATATTTAAAACAGTTGAGTACATCAGGATTCTTTGATGAATAGAAAGGTCCAAAGATCAGCATTTATCTGAAATAAAAAGCTTTTGCAACATTACCCATGGACTATACCAAAAGCTTAGAGTCATATATATTTTTTTTTCTATTTAGCAAGGATGCTTTAAATTGATCAAAAGTGATGATAGAGACATTTATAATGTTACAAAAGATTTCTATTTTTAGATAAATGCTGTTCTTCTGAACTTTCTATTCATCAAAGGAACCTGAAAAAAAACTAATCTGTTTTCAACATAATAATAATAATAATAATAATACATGTTTTTGAGCAGCAAATCAGA